GCTCCTGGGCCTATTGTGATGACTATTGAATATCATAGTGTTTCATCTGTGAAGAACAACTGGCACCTCCACATCGCTAAAATTAGGCAACGAAGTTGAAAGCGGTAACTGTCTTGCAAACTTGCGCGTGAACCACTGACAAACACTTTCAATTCCTTGAACATATTTTTCTTCCCTCTTATTATAAATTTCCTCATTATCGCTTTCTGGCCTATGACTTCATTTTTTAAACGGTTCACAAATTTAAAAAAAAGTTTTTGAAGCTTAGCAAAATGTTATTCATGATTTATATCCGTACTGATCATTCTAACAGAGAATAAGATGCAAAAGCAGTAGACGCACTGCTATAGTTTTAATGGTTTCTCTGATTTAGAAAATTTCCTGTTGAATAGGAAAACTGGGTTAGGCTACCCGTGCTTGACGCTATAATTGAGAAGTAGCTTATGAAATATAGTAAGGTCGCAGTGTAGGAGATAAGAATGTAATAAACTTGCTAGGTCTTGGTTATTCTTTTATATTCTCAAATAAAAGTAAGCCGACCTTTGCTTTCTCTAAAAAAAAAAGCTCTGCTAATGGATGGTCTTGATAATGTTATCAGTGTTATATTGCTGTTTACACAAAACTCATAGCAGAATTCTTTGGCAATAATTGTTCCTTAATAAAGAATGGAATGTATCACCGCACTATTAAAGCATTCACTAAAAACGCTGTTCTCGTCCTTAGCTAATGCTTGTCCTGCTCGGCAGACTGCCTCTGCTTGCTTGTGCTTTGGTTTTTGTCACCAGTTTGCCAGACTGCTCTTTGGTAGCTAGCAGGGGGTTTGAACTGACATTTTAATAATAGCATCTCATAACGATTCTATTAAAAATCCTTCGAAAATCAGGGATTTCTGCCACGAGGTTCATTAAAAGGCACTGTACCTTGTATCAGATAAATTAAGAAATTTCTTCTCGTGGCTTATGAACTGAAAGGTGATAACTAAAACACAAATTCTTAAAAAATAGAAATTTTGGCTTCCAGAAATCACAATCATTTTAATCATTTTAAGCGTCTTCATTAATGATTTATAAAAACAGTTAGCTGCGTCTTCTGATATCTCTTTCTTCAACTACTTTTCTTGTTTTCTGAATTCATGCATCAGCAAAAGTTTGCTTCTGGAGACAAAGTGCGAGTGCATTTTTCAGACCTTCAAAGTTTAGCAATAAACCTCTTCTTCACTCTGAAGCCTGTCCTAAAAAGGGCACTAAAAAACTAACATTAAAATTTGGCAGTATGTGTAAAATACTCAATATAATTCAAAAAATTTTTTCACATTGCCACCGTATACCTCATAGCTTATAGTTTTTAATCAGGCTTTACAGTAATTATTAAGTAATAAAAAAACACTTCAGACAATAATAAAAAATAAAGAAACCTTACGATAAAAACTATGCTGGATTAGAACAGATTTCAGAAACAGAAAAAGTAAATTATGATAATTATAAACTTTGAAAATAATAAATTTTCAGAAAAGTTTAAGAAGACCGTAAGTGCTTTTATTCGAAAGTATTGAAGAGTTTGGACATGGATCAGTTTTATAAGTTAGTCATATGAAGCTATTCTACTTACATTAACTTAAAATGATGTAAAATGCAATTTCTTTTTTGGACTTCACTTAATCAGCTGATTACTTATCCATAACTCATATGGTAGCAGAATTTACCATCTGCTCACCTGCTTCGTCATCAACAAGTTTCTTCTTCACCCTAACTTTCAATCACATAACGTAACAGCGGTCTTAATTCTTTTACCACCAGTAGCCATTTGATTCGGGGAAAAAAAACTTTATGTTTGAGATGATTCTATTTATTTATTAGATAATTCAAGCAACATCCGAGTAACTATTATGCTCATAATTACCCTAAATCACTTTCTTAAGTCCAGTACTGCGACTAATGCAAAAACGAGAACAGCTTTTTCTGTAAGGAAACTGATCAGCGACTGGCGTCAGTTGGACAGTTATGGAGAACCTAGAATACGCGTGTTAACGGAAGCCGATCAGCTTAAACAAATTGAAAAAACGTAAGAAACTATCGTATGGTGATGCTTTCTTTATGTTAATTGGTCACCTAATCCTCTTTATCATATCTTTAACCATTTAATTACCTTTAATTGCAGTTTAACCTTTTATAAATCGTCATTTTTATTATACCTGTAGCTATGCGTTTTATATATTTGTCAGTCATAAACGAATAGTCCAATAAGTAAACTTTTTTTTCTGTAATAAAGGTTTAACAAACTATTTTTGAGGTACTGGACATATTCTTGCGCTTTTCCCAATTGTTACAAACAAAAAAAAAGTATTAGCAAAACGAAAAAGTCGATCTGTTTTGTCATACCAAGTAAGCAAGAGGAAATATTGTCTGTTTCAAGGAAGAAGTCTGGATTTCACAAACTGATGGCTGATAAATTATTAAATTTTAAAAGGTGACAAAGAAGTTTGAAAAGTTACAATAGAATCTGAGATTCCGGCTTTACTCAAAAAAGGAAATACTTTTGAAGAGCAGTATCGGATTATCAAATTGTAGAAAAATAATGTGATTAAGTTTTTTTTTCTTCTTCTTTTTTCTTTACTCACAATTTCTTGACTCCGTCATTTAAATTATTGCAATGTTTTAGCCTAGTAGTCCCATCTTTTTTCCACTGCAGTGGGCGGGGCCCACAAAGAAAAGTGTACCACTTACAGCCAATCAGCGTGATGGGGCCGCCAAACTAAACCAAAGCCAAATCATTTGCTATTTTCCACGAAAGTTCGCGCTAAAGTTCTATCTGTTTCCACGCAAAAGCTTCAAGAGAAACAAGGACACTATAAAACTCTTATCAGGCTATTGTGCTCTAATTTTTTTTTAGAAAGTGATTTTCTCATAACATTTATACGAGTTTTATCTCAGTAGAGTTACTTTTGAACAACCCTTTTGAATAGGTTACAAAATTTCCAATGTTCTCCCAAAGCTGCTATGCAGAAAAAGCAAAACTGTTCTTCTAGCAGAAACTGATCCTGGAAGTCATTTGATTTTTTCTGCCACTTCAAAATCAGTTTGGTGGAAGAAATCAACAGTCCATGCACGAAGGTTTTTCAGGTGAATACCAAATAAGAAGTGAAATTTTAGGATTACTGTACTACGGATCCTTGATTTGAAACATGGTTGAGCCCCCTGCATCTGTCTCCTATAGAAAGAAAAGGACCTACGTCGACCAACCAACACTAGATCAAAATTTGTTCACTGAAATTGTAGAAGATGGTCAATTTGATTTAGCATTTATTTAGCGTTCGCTTGGAGTTCCTGCTTGCTCCAGTGGGCTTCTTTATTGCTCGATAACATCGGACTGTTAGATAAATCATTTAAAATTTCCTTTATATTAGTTTTTTTGATTTTTAGCTAGTCCGCTGTTCATTTATTTATTCAATCATCTTTTGCTTATAGTTTTTTGACTTGGGGATTAAAATGCTTTGTTACTGTACTGGCATAAAAAGTTATTAAACTAATTAATAACCCCAACAGAGAGTGGAAAGACGCAGCTTCGTTATGATAGATTAGAAACGCTACTTCTGTTTCTACAATAAAATTAAGCAGTCAAAAAATAAAAATTGAGAGCTCAATACACCAAAATTGGAAAAGTCCTTCAACTGGCTTCTTTCCCAATTCTGGATTTACAAAGTTCTTTTCAAAAACTTTGGTCTAGCTAGAACATTTATGTGTTAAACGTTACCTAATTCCACGTTAATTTTTATGAAATCTGCATTAGAAATTATAAGTATATCACTACACTAACTATGAGTCTTACCACCGTGCAGTATAATTTAGAAATCCTGAAGTACAGTATAAAACTGCTGCAGCCTCTTTGTAAAAAACCTATATTGTTTTAAACTTTGAGGTCTGCTTCAAATATTTTTGTCATGCTGGAAAAATTTTAGGTTAGTTAACGTATTGGACAACCAATCATTTTGGTTCAAAACGGCTCAGTCAATTTTTTATTGCAGGTTCTGGTAGTACTGGTTATAACAAACGTGGCACTTTATAGAAAAGCTGAAACGATGAGTCAAAAATTCTTTTAATAATCACCTTCCCTGTACTCTTCAATCGCAAAAACCACCAAAACTGGTAAAGAATGTAAAATTTTAAGGAAAAGACGGTCACAGCTTTGCATTGTGAGTTCCGATCCAAAAATGTTGTTACAAATAAGAAAGACTACAAGACTGATCCTCAGCTTCATATTTTCGATTTGAACCATCATCGAGACTTCAATTAGTATGCGATGCAAATATTGTCCATCTAGAAAACAACGAGTTTTATTGGAATTCTGCCACCTAAGCCGTTATCCGCTCGGGTCGTTCCCAAAGTGATGCCTGAAAATCAAAATTAAAAAATTATAAATTTTGTGCTTTTTTAGATCAAATTTTGAAAAAAAAAGTCTTAAGACGAAGTGATATACAGTATACTGCATAGTTAAGTGCCTAAAAGCGAACTGACGGTGAGCAGCTGCGAAATTTCAACAGAACTTCTGGCAAAAGCTTTGGAACTTCTGAAACTGGAGTGAGCCAATTCCGTTATTTGGTGGGAGCAGAAGTTTTGCGCAGAGGAGAGGTTTTACGCAATAGTTTTGAGGTGTTTCTGCAATTAATTCGGCTTTGATTATCTCATATGAACTTTTCGCACTTTTGCTTGATTGGTTTTGTTGCATGACTCTGTCCAGTTTTAGTGCTAAGTACTGTGGAATACAACAAACGTCAGCCTCCTTTTTATTTTTTTCTAGTTATCCGTGAAGCTAACGATTTTCATGACTGGTAGTTTGTGAAAACGCTTGTGTGTTCTTGACAAACTAAAGCGGTCCGTGCGAACGTGATGATTTTTGTAGGTTTGAAATGGGTAGACGACCTGCGCGTTGTTATCGTTACATCAAAAATAAACCTTACCCGAAGTCACGGTTCTGCCGTGGTGTTCCAGACCCTAAAATTAGGATCTATGACTTAGGAAAGAAAAAAGCTGATGTTGACGAATTCCCTGTATGTGTGCATTTAATGTCTAACGAACGTGAGCATCTTTCTTCGGAAGCTCTTGAGGTATATAATTTTTACTGTTCTTTTCCTCCAGAGCATTATTCAAACCGTATTTGGTCTTTTGCGAAACTAGCAGAATTCTTCGGTAGTTGCTGGGTGCATATGGTGTTTTTGTTGATAATCGTTTGAATTTCAGGCTCTTTACCTTTAAGTTTTTTGGAAGTTTTTTGCTTCTTATGTTTTACGCTTATAGTTCTTCTTAGATATGAAGGAAGCAATCTTTTTATGAAATGTATTTCGCTTGCATATTTACCAACTGTAAAAGTTTCGTTAAATAGTTTATGGTTTTTAACTTTTTGCGCATGCGTGCTTCATGTTTTTCCTTGTTTCTTAGCGATGGCTTGCAGGAAGTAACTGGAGAGGCTCACAGTTTTTTTTTTCTGTGTATTCCCGCTGATCTCTTCATTGTGGTTTCCTCCGTAGTAAAATTTCTTCTTGGCATCCAGCTTTTTTCTTTGGTTTACTGCTTAGAAGTCTCTTTGTTTTTAAGACCGATACTGTTGAAGATATCCTCCAATATCTCTTTTACTACGCTTTCCACATTATGTGGCGTTAAACAAGCGACGTTTTTAGGCAGCCCGTATTTGCGCAAATAAGTATATGGTCAAAACATGCGGAAAAGATGGATTTCATATGCGTGTCAGAAAACATCCTTATCACGTAGTACGTATTAACAAGATGTTATCATGCGCAGGAGCTGATAGGTTACAGACTGGAATGCGTGGTGCGTTTGGAAAGCCACAGGGATTGGTAGCCCGTGTGGATATTGGAGATCTTCTTATTTCAGTCCGAGTGCGAGAGCAGGTAAACTTCTAGCAGTCTTGAAAATATTATATCCCAAACTTTTTTCTTTGTCCGGATATTCTTCAGGTTTTATTTTTGTAAACTTTCTCTTTTCATTGTACGTAGTTCACTGGGTTATGATGCAGCAACTTTAGCACCAAGAAGCTGCTGTAGAAGCATTCCGTCGTGCTAAGTTTAAGTTCCCCGGGAGACAACTGATTGTCGTATCACGCAAATGGGGATTCACAAAGTGGGATAAAGAAGATTATGAAAGTATGCGTAAAGAAGGACGTTTGGTGTCAGACGGTGCTAACTGTAAGTTGGTTCGGGAACATGGGCCGTTGTCGAAATGGATAGCTAATCCTATTTAAGTGTCTAACTTGGAGTCTGTCAATTTTGGAAAAAGTTATAAATAATTTGTTGTTTTGTTAAAAGTTTTGCTTTTTATTGGTGGGGCGTTTTGCCATTCCATTAATAGATAAAGTGGATGGGCAAAATTTGTGTTCTGTTCACAGTTTTTATTTTAGTATTGCATTACGAAAGGTTTAGGAGTTTTCACAATTTTGCAGCATGTTTTGGTTGAAAATTTATAAGATGGGTTTTTGGCTTGCTGGATTTACGGTGTGGCGCGTGGAAAACTTGGATAATGTCAAAGTTTTGGAATCCCAATGTCAACTACCATTTATTAGTGCAGCAGTTTAATGCTAATGAGCCCTCTAATTTACTGTTCTGGAGTAAGATCATATTTTTTGATATATTCCATGGCTTCTGCCACGTCTTCTTTTGAGCCCAAAATAATTTGTGATCGTTGATGGATGTGGGTTGGCTTGATGTCAAGAATGGGCATAGTTCCGGTGGTTGCTGCGCCATCTGCATGTTCCAAAAGATAAGCCATTGGGTATCCTTCGTATAGTAGGCGGAGCTGAAATATTGCAGTAATTGTTAGGGTGAGTTACAGTGGACCTTGACACCTGCTATTGTTATCCTAAGTCGAAATTTGTAGGACATACCTTCCCATCTTTGTTGCTTTTAGTCGCGGGATAAAGAAATACTCCTCCATTAAGTAGCGTTCTGTGTATATCTGCTACCATTGATCCGACATAACGTTGGGTGTAAGGTTTACTTCCATCCTGAGCACATTATTATATATAGACCGTACAAGATGTCGTATGATAATAGGTTTGAAGGAGCTTACTGGGGGGTTTTTCTTGGATTCCACATATTCTTTGATACCCCTTGACCATTGTGCGGAATAACCCTCGTTTACACTATATACATTGCCGCGAGGCTTGCACTTCATATTTTGATGGGTTAAAACAAATTCTCCTATTGACTGGAAGAAAACATGAAAACCATACGGGGTCTTGTTTGGTAGGCTGCTTTTTAACTAATGATCTTAACGATAGTACAACCCATAAATGAGATTGCAACTGATTACCGGATCAAGTGTAAAGCCGTTCACTTCGTGACCGGTACAAATTACCACCATGGTAGCAGATCCGTAGAGGGCGTATCCAGCTGCAACCATTTCGCGACCAGGACGAAGTACATCTGCTAATGTTGGCTCTTCTTTGCTTTCCTGAATGGTCTTGGAACTTCTAACAGGCTACTTAAAAATCCGCTGCTTGTGATTTTTCAGAATATTGAAAAGGTGGGAATAAGAGTCAACTACCATTTTGTATATGCCGAATATGGTTCCTACGGAAACAAGGCAGTCAATATTAGACGATCCGTCAAGTGGATCAAAGGTCACGATATACCTCCCTCGTTGTGCCTTGTCGACCTAAACGTTCAAGTTTACAAAAAACGGCGGCTATTTAGGTTGAAAAAATTCAGTTGGTTAAAATTAGTTCACCACAATAAGTTCTTCATTCTCTTCAGATACCATAAAACACGTATTATACGACGACTTAAGCATATTGATCATAAGCGAGTTTGATAAAACATCAAGCTTTTTAACTTCTTCTCCTTGAACGTTAGTTGAACCAGCGATACCATAGCTGAAGTGTGAGTCAGTTCAATTGATTTCAAGCGATTTCACCGCATAACTGAATAGAAATTACAGTTTCGCAATCCCTGCTTTCTGTGAAGCTGATGAGATGGCCTTTATTGCAGTGAGCAGACATGTTAATAGATGTGTCATATCACCTTTGGCGGATGGGCATTTCATTTGTTCCAATAGTACATAACGTTGAAGGGTGATGGCATCAGTTTGAATACCGTACGTCGTCGACATTTCGAAATTTCCTGAAAGGTATGTCTGCGGAAATAGTAAATTTTGGTGTCTTCGCGCTGAAAAACTTAAAGTTCTTCGGAACCAGGAAGTAGTAAAAGGGGCGGAAGTCTTTTCCAGCAAATCACGTATTTCTAGAAGGTGATGTGCGACCACCGAACTAACGATAAAATTTTGTCCGGAAATGAAGTGGTTGATTTCTTTCTTTAAACTTATTTAAAAAGCATTTTTTTCACCAGAATTGCAGTATCATGTCAGAGACATTAAAACATAGAAAGCTAATGAGCATCAAAAATAGTTTTGATCTGAAAAAAGAAAAAGTAGTATTCAACTTGTGGCGATTGCTAGATTGCAAAATAGATGAATATGTAGGAGTGAGGAGAGTAAAACATTCTAACAATTATTTAACGGAATTGGTGTCTTTAAGTAAGACTTTAATGGATGCCAATATAATTTTGTAAGGTTGCAAATAATGAATGGAAGACGTGTTAAGAGAAAGTAAGTAAAAAAAAAGAAATAGTAGTTGCAGCAGTAGGGGCAACAGCAACCGGATGATAAAAACTTGAGCAATTTGTGTGCTTTGGCCCAATCCTGTCAGCAATATACCTCAGCTATATACACGTCTTCTTCTTCTTTCTTTTTCTTTTAAGCTTTCTTTGCCTGTATATTTGTTTCGGTATGTGTGCATATGTGCAAGTTGTTATACATAGGCGAAGTTGCAGTTAAAAAACAAGAACTTTATATGCCTGGCAAAATTCCCGGAACAGTTGAAGATTATGCTTCTAATGCTCTTTTTTTTTTTAAACCGATAAAGCATTTAAGTAGAAAAGAAAATGTATTTTTATTTGGTTTCATGTTTTTTTTTT